GTCACACATCTCTTATTTCTTGCTACAATTTTCAGGCATGGTTGGTAATGCAATAAGTGTCTCTCATATATTAGGAGCTGGCAGACTAAGCTGAAAAATGAGTCAACTGCTAAAAACATGATTTAATATTTAGAAATGAATAAATAATAACCTCATGCTATTTGTGCTGGAGCATGTTCAAAGAAGGGCAATGAAGCTGGTCAGGGGTCTGGAGCACAAGACCTGTGAGGAGCAGCTGAGGGAACTGGGGTTGTTTAGCCTGGAGAAGAGGAGGCTGAGGGGAGACCTTATCGCCCTCTACAACTGCCTGACAGGAGGGTGTAGCGAGGTGGGGATCGGCCTCTTCTCCCAAGTAATGGGACAAGAGGAAATGGCCTCAAGGTGTGCCAAGGCAGGTTTAGACTGGACATTAGGAAAAATTTCTTCACCGAAAGGGTTGTCAAGCATTGGAAGAGGCTTCTGATGGAAGTGGTTGAGTCCCCATCTCTGGAGGTATTTAAAAGATGTGTAGATGTGGTGCTTAGGGCCATGGTTTAGTGGTGTTGTTGGCCGTGTTAGGTTAATGGTTGGACTTGATGATCTTGGAGTTCTTTTCCAACCTAAATGGTTCTATGATTCTATGATTCTATTTGTGCCAACCTTGTGGCTTATGAAATCCTGGGACTGATGATCTTACCAACAGCAGGTGATTAAAACACCATGGAGCTGGTGCATGAACAGTCTCAGTAAGGAGTCTGTGTGCAAGGAATAAAATCTCCCTCTCGGCTGGATGAAGCTTGAGGCACTGAGATAATACTGTTTTGGTTTGGGGAGGTGGAAAAGGTTTCTGCAAGAGGACTGTCCTTCAAGGTTTTAGGTTTGAATTGGCACCTATGATGTTTGTGAAGATTGCACATGCAGTAACAGCAGTGGACACCCTGAAATGTATGACTTCTTCACCTTGACTTGCTGTGAATGTAACATCGGCTACAAAACCTGATGGTCTTTTCTGATATTTTTACTACAAAGGAAGACAAACTCAGTTGCTTGTGCAATATTATAGTTAAACTTGCCTAGCTGGAATTATTATATAGATATCTGACTCATTAGTCCCACATACACACCTACTAACACCCTAGTCTGTACAGGATTGAAATCATGTAGGAGTGTGGTTTTGAAGACTGAGCATGTATAGATGCACTAAGAACTAAGCATTTAAATATTTTAACATATTTTTGTTAAGACTGCCTACTCAGGAGAGAGTCCAAGGCTGCTGATCCCTGCTTTCTTTTATTGGCCATTTCACCCAGATTCAGATTCTAGTCTTCTTCCCCTCTCACACTCATTCACCTTGATTAAGTATTACCTAATCCAAGCAGGAACAGAGACAGTCCCTTCTTCCTTAAAACACTGGTCATGGCTTCCTGCTTTGGAGCCGCCCCCAGTCCTTGAGCCAGCTGGAAGAGTTTCACGTATCCAGAGAGAAGTGGATGCTACTCCCATGTTTGCCTTTCTATTTCATGAGTTGTTCACTGAGTAGGAGGTACAAGGCCCTTTCCTACTGACCAGGAAAATGCTCAGCCTCAGAGTGACATCGTTTTATAAGTAAGTAATCCTTATTTTTACCTAAACAACAACAAAAAAAGAGCAGCTAATCTTCTTGCTGCATCAAAGGATGCCCCCATGCCATCAGGTCCCTGTTAGTCCTGCCAGCTGTATCTCTGAAGGATTCTGTGATATGGGCCATAGCATACCTTACAATTTTCCTTACTGGTTATTATTATCAATGCACCATAGCTTTTAAATGACAAAGAAAACAGTTACTGTGACAAATACATTTATGCTTTCATTAGATAAGGACAGTCCATCCAAATGTATCTAGAAGTCACTGCAGCCTACTTAATTAGACAGGAGATTTAAGAACTGAAACTACCATGTAAGGAAATTTTCAAGTAATGCTTTATTTGGGGGTGCTTTCATCAGCAGTGCACATGGACAGAAAAAGGTGCACAAAGCAGAATAGTTTCTGCATACATAACACATACACCTGACTACTGAGCAATTTATTGCTGATCTATAAGTAGAGTAGGATCCTCGGGAATCTGTGCGAGGGGGTTCAGGATACAACCTTTGTGCATTCACATATGCAGAAGCCTACAAATCTGCACCATAATTAAAATGTGCATGTTTTAAATATAGCTATGGCTTTATACAAACCTCAGGTTGCAGGAGGACCAGAGTCCTCTGCTGAGAAGTGTTGTTTGTTTAGCTGAATCAGCCAAGATGAGAGAAATGTTCAAATTTACTCTAGGTGTATCTAGACAGAGATATATTTATTTTATTATTTTTTGTGCCTATGAATTCCTTTACACACTTTTGTCTATTTCCGATCTATTTCTTAAACAAATGCTTTGTTTGCATTTGTCTTGAACTGTTTGGGATTAAGGGTGATTTAAATTAAATGACATGACTTCCACTTAGAGACATAGCAATCTGTAACATAGGGACTGGACCATGCATACAGAACTCACCTCTCTCCTGCACTTGTCCAAACTTACAGCACCCTGACTGTGTTTGTAACAGCCTACAAAACTATGTTCTAGCAAACTCAAACCATCAGGTGTCTTCTTGGCATAAACAGGATTCCGATATGTTTTGTGATGCTGTGTAGTGTTTTATTTTGAAACGTGTTCCAGTGAAGTCTCCATGGTATAAAGAGAGTCTCGGTAGCTTTCTTAAAAATGACAGAGCTTTAAAATCTTTCAAAGAGAAAGCAAAAGAGAGCCCAGTAAGACAGTTGAAAGAAAAGGGTGTCTTAATGTCAAACCAACACCTACTTCTAAGCTTTAGCTGCATTCTTGTACTCTTATCCTACCAACACCAGTGGAAATGCAGATCGGTGATTACCCAAGGGCACTACCATTTTCCAGCAGAAATAGCTGTTGGGTTTATTCAATCTTTTGGAAATAATCCATGGGGTTTGCAAAATTTTACAGTTTATTGCTACCAAGGTCACAGTAACATGGGTTTTCTTTTGCAATCCATCAGGACAATCAGAAAGACAACATATATCATACAGAGAGTATTGCAACATTAACCCAATACAACAGTCCATGGAGATAGGATTCGGTGCTGTTCATTCTAGCTTTATGGCAATGAGCCTTGAGATTAGTCTTCCAAATCATGCTTGTATACTGAAGTATGTGAAAGTCATATTGTTTCCAATGAAACAACATAGTACATACAGACTTGGCAGATTCCTGATCTCTACAGCTTTTGACAGTGTCCCAAATTTAGGACTGAGAATGTCAGACTGACCCTGCATTTGGCAAGAATAATAGAAGTCCTGGCTTTATCAAACTCTGCTTCAAATCAGATCTCATTTCCATTAAAAAAAAAATTCTCTGATTTTGTAATATTAATGTAATTGCATTTGTAAACAAGTAGAAAATTTAACTGTCCCTGATTTAATTTACTGTGGTGGATTTGGAGACTCAGTGAGGCTCATACATCATAAAAGGAAAAATAAAAATAAACTGGTCGTGCTTGTATATAGCAATATTTCTTATCTGTCAGAATACTGCAAATTAAATGAGAAAAAAAGGGAGCTTTGAGCATGTAATAAAAGTTCTGTGTTCAGTTGCTTGTCCTGTATCACTCTTATTGCAAATACTAAAATGAAGTTGTTGACTCCTGCTATTTAAATCAGAGAAAATATCAATGGCTTAATGCTATTGTGAACCTGGCAGTATATGGCATAAGACTAAATTTTTAAAAGTTTGCAATGGAGGGTTTAATTGATACTCCTAAAATCCACATTCTTTTTTTCTCTCATTTTCTGACCTCATTTCTGAGTCAGAGACAGAGAGGGTGGAGTATAATAATTCTACCCAGGCCATTTGACCAGGCAAGAAGCCCAAGAAAAATGACTTTTCCATATACTAACATTAATAAGTAGTAGAATCCCAAAGTTATTTTGCAAGACTTTGATTAGTATTTTGAACTTCACATTGTATAAATTAAATAGTTGTTTCTCAATGCTCTTGCTTCTATGGCTTCTCCTTTTAAATTATACTGTGTTTTAGGCCACCGAGTATATAATTTTCTTTTACATTTTCTTTATGTATATTCTTTGATTTCACAGTGGGTGTTACAGAATGCTATACAATTTCTACACGGAGATTGCCCAGGTGATGACAACATGCACTTTTTGCAGCAAGCTCAACCAAAATGCATGTGATTGGGTTAATATTGAGACAGATTTACTTTGTTAAGGTTCTTGGAGGTTTGTTCCTCTCCACACCCTACATGGTACAACCTCCATATTAGTGTCCTTCCATGAGGAAAGACCAGTACACAAGTGTTCCACTCACATTCACAACTCATCTGCATCCAGCTGTAATATTTTGTAGCAAGACAGTTCTGATAGCCAATTCAATTGAATCAGGCAAAAAAAAAGTCTTTCATCTGGGGTTTTTTGGACTACATTTAACACCTCTGTTACCCTGCACTCAGGCTAAATAGCTTATTCTTAAAAAAAATCCTACTTCTGTTTCCTACCTCTAGAAATCTACTTTACAGTGACTTCTGAGATCTCAAATATGCCAAGAGGGGACTATGAGCAAAGACCTGATGCTCCAATGCACAAACTCCAAAGCAAGACTCTGCTGACCACACCATGCCCTGCCTTCCTCAGGGTAAATCCTTTCCAGAATCCAGCTTTACTCAAATTGATCAACAGCCACTCTAGCCCACTCTTATCTGCATTTGGATTCAGGTGTAACAGGAACACAATGGTGCTCATACAGGCTTTACTAAGAGCTGAGGCAGAATCCCTTCAAAAAAGAAAGACTCCAAGCTGGCAACAAGTATGAATTCAAAATAGATATTTCCATTTTGCACTGCAAATAAAACATCCTATCAGGCCTTTCCAATAAAAATGTGATCCAGAGTGTTGTACCAGACATTACTGCACATTTTTTCAAATTTCAAATGAAAAACATGGAGAAAATAAAACTTACTTTCGACGGAACATTTCTGCAAATATGCAGCCAACACTCCAAAGATCCACTGGTGTTGCATAGCTGGACTGAAGCAAAACTTCAGGAGCTCTATACCACAAAGTAACAACCTGTAAAACAAAAAGGAACACAAGAGTGAGCACACTTAGCTACAGAATTACAACCTTAGAAATGTTGTGTAAACAGCTCCTATTTAGTTTAATCCAAACTGTAAAATCTCACAGATTAGGGCAAACTGCTTTGGCCAGTGCAGAGAAAAGGGTCCTGTATGGAAAAACTCAGTATGGATAGCTGCTGTGATGATGAGTTGGGACATGAGGCCACTTCTTGTCAAGAACAGCGCAATTCAGGTTGCAACAAAAATACAACGTCAGAGTACAGTGTTGGTGTGATATCACAACATCACAGCACGCTACCAGAACAACTCTTTGAAGCTTTTGCAACTTACAGACCCCAAACCCTTTCCAGTGAGGATCTGTAGGCTTCGTAGAGCCAATGTTTGCCTATTAAACAAGGCCTCCTTTTCTTAAACGACTTTTCTGGACCCCTTAGATTTAGTCACCAGAGCCAAGCTGGATACAAATAAGCTAGGGAATACTGTGGGTTTACCCATAGGACAAATCAGAGCCTGTAGTCCATGTCTGTCCTAAGCCCTTCATAGTTCATGTATTATTTTTTGTAAAAGAAACGGGGTTAGCTCAAGTGTATGGGCCAACCTGGGCAAAGATATCTGACCTGTCTGAGACGTTCTTTATGAAGAAACTGAAGAAATTATAAGTTATTTTTTTATGGGTTGGATACAGATTAAGTCAAGCCCTCCCCAAAGCTGTGCCGTACCAAAGGCGTTCAGTGCTGTCCACTGTGGTTTCCTCACACACACAGGCACCTTAAACTGCCAGCTGTCAGCTAAGCAGCACGGCACAGGGATCCTTGGCAGAATCCTGACCTATAAAGTTGTGTGACTGCCTCTGCCCACATGCTGCTGGTCAGACCAGCACTAGCTTCTCTCACAATTTATTTCTAAATGATACGCTCTTTCCCAGGGACATATGCCACGCAAAGCGTCTGCTTTTAGGCTGTTCTTGTCCTGGTGGTCATGTCGCAACATATTGCAGAGATCCAGTGGGAATTTTACTGGCACTGCTCCATTGATGCACTTTGATGAGTCCTGCACATTGGACCCACAACAGAGATGGGACAGTTTATATTTACCCTTTTGTTTCCCACAAGTAGACCAAATACAGATGAGGCTGACTGTATCTTCAGCATATTTACAGAAGAACACAAGGAGCTTCTTTGGAGTCCTGTGTGAGCTATTATGTTGCTAGAATATAATCTCACAGCCATGGGAGTATCCTGCTCCTGAATAGAGTTATAATCCAGTGGTAACAACACATGATCATCAGCCAAATACCAGTATTTTCTTAGTGACTGCTATAATTTAAACCTCTGACTATTAACCTGGGGGCAGGGAGGGTCTCAACAACTATGTGTTTGTTTCTCCAACAAACATGAAGATGGGAGATGCAGCATTCAGGAGGAGCATGAAACAAAGCAAAAACACTGAAAAGAAACAAGTGCAAAGATAAGAATGAAAATAATTTTTAAAATTATGTTAACTAGGATAGTGAGTTCTGAATTTCAAGACCAGTACAAAGAAATGTGTAAGAAGAGTGGGGTTTTTTAATGATAACAATATAATTGTCTTCTAAGCAAAAATAACAATGGAAGTAATCAGCCGAATTTGCTGGTCAAAGCCAGCTGCAACAAAAGCAAATACAACATTTATTACAATCATTACATGCCCTGACAGCCTTTGGAACTACTGAATGGCTATTGAAGGGAGGTTCACGGATATTTGCACAAGTGGTCATATTTGCTAACAGTCCTCTTAAACACTTTGATGTCTATTCATAAAATTTGTCTTTGAAACAGTTCAGTAACACAGTGCAAAGTACTGTACTGGCAAGCTAGACTTCCAAATACCAGTCCGCAGAAACAGATTCCTCTGTGGAAGCTGGGCATTACCTAACCCCGTTTCTCTTGTTCCTGATTTGGTACCATACCAGTGATGCTTTTCCAAAATATTTCTCTCTATAAAACCCAGGAAAGTTTCTTCAGAAATTCACTCCAGGGAAAGAAAACAAATATAATGGGAGGTCAGGGATTTTTACTGGAGCTGCCCTATCTGAGTCAGATAGAATTCCTCCTAAAACACATAGATATTTTTCCTGATGCAGATATTCCTCTCCAACTAAACTGCGCTTTTATTCTCTCAGTACATTTGTGGAAAAGCTTGTTGAAGAAACATTGCTTTGAGAAATTAGGTATTACAATTTCAACCCATTACTGTTTGTCAATGACTGGGCACAGTGTCAGGAGCAAGAGCTTGTGCGATCTCTGATCTGTGGGAATACCACCAAACCTCACGATTCCTGGTTTGAGATCCACACAGTTCTCACACCGAGTGAAAAGGTGCTTTATTTTCCCCAGTTCCACCAGTCCTGCTGCATTAAGGCTCTGCACTCTCATAGGCGAAGGACTGGGGGATGCATGGTGGTGAGACAGTTTGAAAACCTCTGACAATGTATGCCCCAGACTGAAGTCCCTTTTCCCGGGAAACGTGGCACAGGACAGCTGCTCCTTTCCTGAGAGAGGCATTGCAGCTCGTGGCCGGTCCCCGGGTGCTCGCTCAGGGGGAACAGTGCTGTTTTCAGAAGGCTGCGGAAGCGTGCAGCGTGTTAGCTGCTTCTCCCACGTGACCACTTATTGGCACAGTTCCCCAAGCATTTGCACCCTGCTACGCTCCATGCATGCATACACAGGAGAGTGGGAGATTTTACTTCTGAGTAATTTGGCAACTTAAACCTTTAAAAAAAAAGGTTTCCAAAGTTAAATTCCAGCAAATGCCCGATTGCTTTATAGTCAGAGAGGAAGTAATCTGCGTTGAGCTGTTTTGATACACTCTGTCATTACTGTGTAATTATAGAAGTGACCAAGTAACATTTACGCTCTGTAATACGCAAGTCTGCCTTTCAAAATGTGTACCTGAAAGGGATCAAAATGTACCAAACGTCAGTTTGCACACAAGTAATGCCACAGATGACTCCTCTAGTGGTCAGGGTCTTCTCCTGAGAAGCACAGGATGATGCAGATGATGCAGTGGTTTTGACACAGAGTTTCACACTCTCTTACCATAGAAACCAAGAAAATATTTGTGGACATTCCATTAATATTTGAAGATAAGTAGAAATGAAAATTATTCTGAACACAGGATATGGTGAGGCTGAACTAGATCATCGCTTCCTCTTTAGCACAGTTGTGACTTAGAATGAAAAAATGCTTTGCTTAGGTAAGCCACACCACCAGTGAGACAGGCTCTCCCTGAGAGATAGAGCACTTGATAAAGAGCTGCTTGATAAAGTCCCATTTTTAGGATGAAAAAAGCAACCACCTGCATTGGTACATTTCACTTAAATTCCACCTCTCCTGAAAATCTGACACACACGTAACATGGCACATGGTGATTGCTCTGTAGGGA